GCAGGTCGAAACAATGAGGGCCTGAAAATGGCCCTCCGTTTCAGGCTGAAAACTCTGGGTCTGAAAAGACCCAGAAATAGGCTGAAACGAGGTAGGGCCTGCAGGCCCTCGTTTTTCAGCATCCAGGCTGAAATGAACGGGGCCTGTAAGCCCTAAGTTTTAGGCTTTTAGGCTGAATGTCCGGGACGGGCCCTGTAGGGCCCGTGTGGCTACGCAGTATGCCACAGTTTCCCTCCGGGAGATCAATGCTGCCCCCAACCATGGATGGACACGTGGACATTGACGATATTGTCAAGCACAAGCTGATGCCTGTACCCAGACCTTCAGGAAGGGGTAGACCGCCAAAGCCACAGATGCAGTACCGAGTGCGGTTCAGACATCACACTGATCCTCGAGAAGACCGGTGGTTCACAAGAGAGTAATCAATGAAGACTGCTCCCCAAATTATCTCAAGCTACGAAAGAAATCAGAAAGGGAAGCAGCCTATTTCATAAGAACTTCTCAGAGGACTGTCGAAGTAAAGGAGGGAATGCGAGGATTCGGATCCTCGGCAGGCCTGAGGGGCCCCTGTTGCATCTGTGTCCGCCCTAAGTGAAGGCGGGCCTAACAAATCACAAGAGGCCCCCGACTGTCAATTTCGTATTTGGGGTCCAGGCAGTTTCGTCGCGCTAGTTGGTTGAAGGAAACACAGGCCGAGCAGCGAGGAAAATTCCCAGGCCTTCTAGGCCTTTCCAGAAAGCACAGGCCCTGGGCGAGATTCGCAGCCTCATACACAGACAGTTAAGAGGCCCAACCGAATGAGGCCCAGTAGCTGCACCAAAGGCGCAGCATCCTGGGGCCTACTGGAAGGTTCTGGGCCCACTCCAGTCCAGCCAGGCTGCCATACGAGGCAGGCTCTTTCCATATAGGAAAGAGCTCGCCGCCTGGCGAGACATTCGGGCACTTGCTGGCTGGCGAAATAGCGCTGCTGGAGCTCATGCTCGCGGGCTGGCTGCTAACCCTGGAGCAAGGTGCTTCGCACGTGCGGTCGTGTGTGGAAGAAGGGCGCTGCTGACGGCAGCGCCATAGCCCAGTCTTCATAGCTGGCTGAGGGCTTGGATGTACAGTGAGGCGCAGGGGTGGTCTTCGGGTGTACAAAGGGAAGACGTGGGAGTAAGACGAGGGAGAGAGAAAGAGAGACGGATGATGATGATGATGATGATGTGAGGGCACATACCTGGTATTGGCGATAGTCTGCATGGGCGACATCTTCAAGTACTTCGGAGGCTGCTGACGTCAACAGTTGCATTGTCAATTAGTAGGCAGAGAGTAGCTGTGTAGATAGTAGGCTGGACGCCGAGCGCCAAGTAGGAAGATAGGGCCTGGACACTCATGTTGGTGGTGGCGAGAGTAATCTCTCATTGACATTGGTTTTCAGTGTTACGATTCTTCATTGGTGTTATATTGGTGCATTCTGCTTTCCGGACACAGTGATACTATCTGGCCTTCAATGTGATTGTGTATGCTGGTCATTGTCATCTCGCTATTGCTCATTTTCCTTGCATAATGCATGAAGATTCAGAAAGCCGGCTTGTTCCATCATCCTCACAGAGATGCAAATTATTTCACTGACGCGCCACATGCATTCTGATCGTCACATCATTATTACGCCAGCATTCTGACACAAAAACGAACGAGCAGTGGAAAGAGGAAGAGGAGAGGGAAAAAGAAGAAAAAGAAACCAAGACAGCAGGGAGGGGAGGGGGGGGGAAGAGAGAAAAGCAGAGGAAGGAGGGAAGAGGAGAGGAGAAAAGACGAGAAGATGAGAAAGCAAGAGAGCAAACGTGGAAAGGAGAGAGGGGAAGGGGGAGAAGCAGGAGAAGAGGGAAGAGGGGAGGAAGGAAGAGGAAAAGAAGATGAGAAAGTGAGATGGCAGACCAGCACTGGGGACATGTGGCTGAATGCGACACACATGTAACTGCTAATGAAGAGGTCATCAGTTCGAATTCGGATTGAATCAGATGGATACAATAATGTTAGGGGCTACTTCCATTTCGGAAGGAAAGAAAGGAAAAGATCAAGAGAGCAGACAAGGAAAGGATAGAGCAAGGAGAGAGAAGAGCAGAGGAGAGGAGCGAAGAAGAGAGGAAGAAAGACAACAGGATGAGAAAGCAAGAGATCAGATGGGGGGAGAGAGAGAGAGAGAGAGAGAGAGAGAGAGAGAGAGAGCTTGAATCCTGGAGACGAGGAGAGTCACAGATGTAATGCAGCACCTGATTGTGTGAATACTTGCTCCACATTCCTGTGCAATCGCGTGGACCAGGAGGGTCTGCAGGCAAGACGGTACAAGGTTCATCGAAGGGCTCAAGAGATTCAGCAGAGGATCACATCTTCCCTCCCTACATAAGCGGGCTATCAGCAGACTAGAGTAAGGAAAGGGAAGAACCAGATTTAAACCAATGATATGAGGAATGCCTGCCATCTTTCCCCCAACACAACACACCCCCTTTCTGAATGTATACAAACTATGTTTCCAGTGCGGTACAGCCATAATGACATTGCGTTGTGTTCGGGGAAGACGAGACCCAGGGAGCTCTGAATAAGCTGTTACGGATGACAGGCTAATAGTGTGAAGCCCTCCCTATTAGGAGCACTGGATCCAAACCATCGGTAAACAACTTCAGGGAGAAGTGGGTTTTCTAACAAAACAGCCCAAAAACATTCTGACGAAACTTGCTACCACTCCACAGAGCGTGTACATTAAACAAACCAACAGCCGAAAATTTCTTAGAAAGGGAGAGGGAAAAAGAATAACTGAAATCATACCACAAAACCCACTTTCATGCAAAACTCGCCCTCAGTGTTTCACAGTGCATTCGGTTATTGAACCTTTCCGAACAATTTTTAAAGAGTTTTCTTGAACAACCATTCTTGAGACTCCCAACACTCGACTCCCTTAACAGAAACAAAGCTCCAAACTTGGTTACCTGGATGCCTGGCCGGGCATGCAGGCAACCCGCCAGTGTTAATCTCGGCATATTAAAAGTCCAGGACCTTTTTTTCCGCAGGTGGGGTGTTTCTATGCCTTCGCAACGCAGCCCAAATCCGGGGTCTTTCTTGTTTTCTGTCTTGTAAGTTGACGGGTGAGGGAGGAGAGGAGGGGAGGAGAGGATTCAGCCCAAATCCAGGGTCTACACAACATTTTCTTCCCCAGAATTTTTTGATTTTTTTTATGGGGGGGGGTTACACTGGGGCTGGGCATCCCCGGCAGCCCGGGCACTACTTTAAAATTCGGACAACCAGTAAGCCGGGAAGCAGAAAACAGTTGGGCAGGGAGCAAAAACGTGACAAAAAAGCACAAGTTTGCGGCCATACTTTACAACGCCATCGTATAATCTTTTTTTTCCTTCTTTTTCTCTCTGAAAGATCAGCACCAAACCTACAGGCCTGTTATTTTTCAGATTCTTTCGCACAAAACGATAAGCATGAAAAATCGTCAAAGTCAGTGCAGTCACATTTTCGCACGCCGGGGTTGATTGCCGCCAGTAGGCTTAAAGCCCCGGTGGCGTACGCAAAGCAGTGTCATTTTCCGGCTGTAAGGGGCTTGTATAACCAAGAAAAGAAACAGTCCACAGCCCAACCTCACAGAAAAATTGAGACAGCCCCCACCCTACTCCGTTCTCAATATCCACTTTTTTTTTTAATAAACAGATCCTGATTCAATCCGGGTGCATACAATACGGCTAAGGCCTACAATCTTTCGGTGAAAAAAGAAAAGAAAAGGAAAGGAAAAGAACCCTGGCTGACCCATGCAGTCCGACCAAACTGAGATGGGCTCTGAGAACAAATAAAAGTGGTACCCCACAGAAAGCCAAGTAAAACGATAGTCAAGAAGGGAATATGACGGATCTATTCTGCTGCACGTTGCTTGCTTTCCAGGTAAAAACTGTTTCATTGTTGGACTGACTCGTCTCAAGTGCGCTTCATTGTCTCCAATAGAGGTAAAGCTGCTTCCATTTTCGATCTCCTCATCTGGGTGGAACAGGGGCTGTTGTGGTGAAAATCTACAGCACACACACACACACACACACACACACACACACACACACACACACACACACACACACACACACACACACGTGAGACCTGCTTTTATTGTGGAGTTCTGTATAGCGAACATGACAGCACACACACATACACACACAAAGTGAGGCCTCACCCGTGTTTGTGTCCCATGAGATCAGGTTGATTCACGCAGTTCGTTTCCTTTTTAATTCTATCGTATTAATTTCTCAGATTTCAAGAGGGCGCTCCATTCCTCTAGAGGCAAGGTCCCACTCATCCAGCACTTGTCCAGATTCCCCGTTCCTGGCCGTCGATCTTCGTAATCTACGGTCAGAAGAGAAGAATCCATGGTAACTGAGACCTCGCCGCCGTAAATCCAAATTTAGTTACACCACGTGGTCTCCACTCCGGATGGCTACGTACCTTTCCAGTTCCTGGAGGCCCATGCAGAAGCAGTCCACGTGGCCACTGCAAAGAAAAGTGTACATCATAAACCATGCACAGACGAAAAGAGCATGCGTCAGCCATCGCAACCCATTCAAACAAATATAGACCACGTTCTTCGGCACACCGTAGCCCATAATAATGTAATTCAGCGATGAAGAGAAGCAGGCGAAAAGGGTGCTCTACACGTCTGACAACGCGCGAACCACTCTCGATTTTTGCTATGTGATTGCGAGAGTGGTGCCTGCAGTGACGGGCGGGGCTCAGCCTGCAGTGACGGATAGGGCTCTCTCTGCAGTGACAGGCGGGAAACTGATTGGCTCTCGGAACAATCTTGCGTGCAAGCAGTTCCTTCGGCGCTGGGTGGGCCAGCTACAATAATAGTAATAGTGATAATAGTGGATTCTTAGAAGAAACGAAAATACGTAATAGTAATATTAATAATAATGATGATGACGAGCGTGACGCCACCGCCCGCCCTCCACCGCCAAATACGGAACGGACGAGTCGAGAAATGGTTCAATTCGAAAATTCAGAAGGAAAAAAAAAAGAGAAAAAAAACAGCCCACGTGGCTGAACGTTACACATGTAACTGTTGATAAACAGATCACGTGTTCGAATCCTGCTATAACCATAATGATACAATAAGGTTAGGAGCCAACCCCTTTCAGAAAAAGAAGAAAAAAAACACAGCAGAACAGAAGAAAGTGGAAGCCGCTGCAGGTCACAGTTCCCCTCCGGCATCCCACACTGTTGGTTACTTTTTATTTGTAACAATGAATTGAATCATTTCTCAATGGTGGGTTACGGTGGTCGATCCTATTCTCAATTAGGTCGATCGATTTTTAGCACCAATGAACAAATAAAGGTCGAGAGGATCAATGCACACAACATACACATCGAACCATCATCTAGACGGATAGATCGTACAGGTAGTGGCTTGAATCAATGGATCAGTTCACACACCGATAAATCAATGGATAGATCGTACAGGTAGTGACTTGAATCAATGGATCGATCATATAGATAAAGGCGAATCAATGCATAGGTCATATAGATCGACGAATTTCGTACAGAGAGATGAACCAATGCATAAATCATATAGATAAAGATGAGTCAATAAATATATTATATAGATAGATAGATAGATAGATAGATGAATCAATGGATTAGATCATATAGACAGATAAGATTATATAGGTAGATAGATAGATAATAGATAGATAGATAGATAGATAGATAGATAGATGATGGATCAATGGATTAGATCATATAGATATATGAATCAATAGATAAGATCGTATTGATAGGTGAATCCATAGAAAGTTGAGATAGATCCATGGAGAATATCCGTTGGTCAGTCCATGGATTGAAAGCCTGTTGTCCATAGGTCAGTCAGTAATTAGAACCGTTAAAAATCGACGTAGAATCCTCAACGGATCGATCCCAACGATCCATCCACTGATCGATCTACCAGCTCAACAATCCATTCCTCGAAAGATCATATGGATAGCTGAATCAAAATAGATAGTTAATATGAATCCACGGACAACATTCGTTGCTCAGTCGATGAGTTTATCCTTTTTTTCGTGTGTGTGTGGTACAAGCAGCCTTCCCAAGTAAGTATTCTTGCTGTTAGGTCAAAGAGAAATTAGAAATCGCAACAAGATCGCGGTAGAGTCACTGAAGGATCGATCTGAAGAATCCATCCACCGACAGTTCTATCGATTCCAACAATCCATCCGCGGACTGGCGCATCCACCGATCGATCCATCCACCCATCCATCGATGGACAGACCGATCCATTAAGTGGACTCATTTACGTACTAATCATAATTATACACACTATGATTATACTACTTCAAAAAATTACTACTAATCTTACTAATCGACTTACAGTCGATGACGATCAATCCATCGATGGACAGACCGATCCATTAGGTGGACCGATTCATCAATCCATTGACCGATACAAGCAATCAATCAATGCTCGATACCTCAAATTATAAATCAATTCGATCAAATAGTCGATCGATCAATTCAAACACCAATCAACCAAACGGTTCATGCTTCCTGCGGTATCCCGCTGAACGATAAACAGAAGATTTGCATGGCCCCTGCGCAAGGACGACACGCATAAATCAAGAAATGGTCCATACAACCAAAAAAAGAAAGTTTTCCAGTAGAGCAAGGCCCAAAATTGCGCCTAAATCAAGAAATGGTCCATACAACAAAAAAAAGAAAGTTTCCCAGTAGAGCAAGGCCCAAAATTGCGCCTATTTGCGCGGAGCCACACACTACGGGCAGTACCTGGCACACAAAATCGCGCCTTTTTGTGCAGGTTGACATACTACCAGCAGCACCCGGGCGCTCCAGGCACCGCGTGGTACATATATCCGTGCCCATTAGAGTGGGTGCTCACAGTGTTAAACGGACGGAAAATAGTATCCCCTGGCAGGCTGCGTTTTCAGATGGACATCTATACCGTCCCGCTGCGTAGGACTGTACTTGCCTCCACGTCGGTTCCAGGTACATTCGGAGGGCATTCTCTACTCTTGGGACGAGGGTTGGCGAAAAGCTGGAGAAATGCTGGCGGGGGGACAAAGGAACGCCCGGTGGGAGCCGGGGGAAATAGCGGCGGGGAGGCGGATGATGAGGTTTTGCACTTTTGGCTATACCTACACCACCTCCTACTTCTTCCGAAATTCCAGCTCTCGATGTGATTAGAGAGAGAGGGGAGGGACAAGGGTGACAAAAACGGGAACACACACACACACACACACACACACACACACACACACACATCAGAAAACGGAAAAACAAACTGAAAAGGAAGGTGGAAGAAAAGAATGGCAAACCTGCCTTGAGGACGAATGGTCCACCGATAACCCAAAGCTGTTGATAAACAGGTCTAAGTTCCAATCTCGTGATGGGTAAACCGAAAGAAAGAAAAGAAAGAGGGGAACGACAAACCGAAAGGAACTTCGCGAAAGGCAAGGGGGGCCGGGGGGGGGGAGGGGAGGGGGAGACGAAGCGTACCTGCAGTCCAAGATGAAAAGCTTCCTTCGCGTAGATCAACGGCCATACAGCCACCTCCCTCATCGACACCAAGGCTGCATGCATTCCTGCCAAGTGGGCTTCCGCAGGAGCATTCCCATACGCCGCCGCATCAGCCACGTGCGGTGTTGCCTTGATCGCCTCTCCAACCCCGGCTTTCGTCTCCATCCTCGCGGCCATGGCGGCGCCGCTCTTCGTCCTGAGCGTTACCGAACCGGGCACCGAAGGGCTACGACAATCTCGATCCCGATTCCCTGTCGGTCCCGACTGCTGGCAAATCACCGCCGTTGATTGGACGATTCTGATCGGCCGACGTTCAATAGATCCGCGTGGAATCGTATTCACAATTCGAACGTAACTTCCCTCGCCCTCTCCTTTCCTCCCTTGCTTCTCCTGCTCCCCCTCCTCCTCTTGCTTCTTCGCCTCTGCCTCATGAAGTGGCACGTGTAGCGCTATACGCGATCCCGGCAAGACGACCTTGTGTCGCAATTGATTTGTCACCCACGCGACGATTCGATCTTTGTGCGACACAAGACCATCGCCGCCGCCGCCCCCTCGTCTCCCCTTGCCCGCTTTTTCGCAGCCGTCAACGATATCTATCGAAACGCATCCCGCGGCCTCCGCCTCGCCTTCGAAAGCAACCACACACCCCTCCAAACGCCGTCCCGCTGCCGCTGACAACCTGCGGAGATCACCCCGCGAGCGCCGAATTGGCGCGCACTGAACTGTCGCATCCAACAGCAGATAGCCGTGTGGGCAACTTAGACCAACACTGCCCACCTGCCACGCGGACGCTATGCATATGAAGGTCCAGTCCCATCGCTGTTGACTGGGCGATGATCGCACCTGAGTCTGATCGTTCTCCTGAGCTGCATCAGTGGCTGACACTTCTCTCACGAAAACGCGTACTGGCTGGTTGATCGACACGTGTATGTCGCTCAATAGCGCTGCATCGACTCGGCAACGACAAGATCTGTAGTCGAGATCAGCAGTGCTGACTAGACGGATCGGCAAGATCGAGTCCCTCCGCCTCGACTCCAAACCGAGACCCTTCCCCGCCGACGACATTCCTGAGCCAGCTTCCGATGCCCGCGTTCCCGCCTGTGCAGATAGCACGCACGAAAAAGTTCCCTTGCGGTGAAAGCACACACGAAAAGGTCCCGCGACAAAACCACGCACGAAAACGTTCTGCCCCGAAAGTGCACAGCAAAAAGCGCCGCGCCAAAAAAATCGAACAGTCTGTCAAAATACCTTGCTCGGCCTTTTGGCTAAGATCAAGTGTAGTATCCGTTCTGATCAGTTTGTCAAGCGCGGACGCCGACTGGCACGAAGTCAATGGATGGTTTCTCCTGACTCTGTCCGTGGGCCGTCTGGCCGGGGCCCGCCACCTCCATTGTGGTCGTAGTTGTCAAACCACGTGACGGTGGGCGACATGTAAGAGCGTTCAGCGTTGCGACGGTGGCCGACACATGGGGGCCGTAGATAGGGTGTGCATCCGATGGTCCAAGTTAAACCACGCTCTTGTAGAGGTCATTCCCTCGGTGTTGTAAATAGACTGCATACGGTGGTTGCAGTCATAAGTCAGCCATTGGTTAACCTCTAGTACCTCCGCCAGTGTTGGGAAAATGGGGAAAAGTGGCAGTTTTCCCAAACTCCTAAAGATTCGGACGTCGGGCCCGACTGCCATTGATAAATCTGGCCCGACGTCCATTGATAAATCTGATCGGCAGTGGTCACTTCGTTTCAGCCTCCAGCCTCCGAAAAAGTCAGAGGACCAACCGAGGCCCTCTATTTTCCATAAAAACTGGAACGATACAGAGAAGATTAGCATGGCCCCTGCGCAAGGATGACACGCATAAAAATGGCCCGCTATTTTCCCACGCGGCAAAGGTGCCTTCTCATCGGGGGACAGCCATATATTTTCTCTCTCACCTCACATATCTTGGCGTTCTGCCATGTCATGGAACATGTCTTTGTTTTCAGAATCTACCACTACTCCTAAGGCTATACAGGGGACCCCTGCAAGCATAGCTTTCTACCTCTCTTCAGTGAAGGGAGGTTACCTCTCTCGGTGGAGAGGGGTAACGGCATGTTTGCCCCTTTGCCCTAGAGTTTAGGGTGCAGGGTTGGGGCCGCCAGTGGGGGCCCGGCTAATTGACTTACCGTGAGGGCACGGGTGCGCAGCCCGTAGTTTGTATATGCTTGATTGATGAAGGAGGCGTTATTGGAGAGGTTTAGAAATATGCACTTGCAAATGCAATGCAGGTGTGTTGTTTCAACCTGCGGCCAAGGCCGTGCCCTTTCCGATTTCAGACTTTTCCACTTTTTCACCCTGCCGCTGCTTTGCCACCGTTTCGACCAAAACCCAGTGCGCGGTCCCATGGGCAGCTCCCGGTCCCGCATTATTCAAAGAAACTGCCACCCCCCCCCAAAGTGTCGTGCCTGCACCTGCCTGCATTTTTTGAACCTTCCAACGACCAAACGAGCCCGAATCAACGACCGGTATAACGAAGGACGACAAAAATGTCTCAGGGGGTGGAAACACATCCCTGACGGGCTGCGAACACAAGGACCGAGCATTTGCCAGTAACTATGCCTCCCTTTTCATCTTCCCCCAACCCCATCGAGTAACAGCAGTGTCTAAAGCCAACACTCTTCCACACACCACATGCAACCCACTCACACACTCACTCACACCCGTGTTGGCTAAAGACCTTACTAATACCGACTGGGAGGATTCAGCTGACTATCTCAGTTGGTTGGCACCAAAGAGTGCTACAGGCGGCGATGGGGATTGAACCGACAACCTCTTGAGTGCCACTTGCATGCCTAACCAATTGAGCTAGGCCACTGGATTGACAATTTGTTTGTGAGGTCACCTCCCTGCCCATCCTCTCGTTAACTCTCCTATCCTACCTGAGAGTGAAACCACCAGTACTTGGTGCAACTATCGAAGTCGAACCTTCATCGACCCTGCGCGCCAAGTTTTACCAAAGCAAAACGACACTTTTTTGTTTTTGTTTTGGCTATGGCCTCCAGCGAATGTGGTCTAGTAGGCGGAAGCCCAAATGCCACGGTGTGGGTCCATATGCATTTGCATCAGAGTCTCCCCAGAGGGGGCCTAAGCCCCCATGGGGTACTGCCGATAGTTGGGCAAAGTACTAGTGGTTTAAAGCACCAATACACCATACATCGACATGCGGGTGTCAGTATAAAACCCGCACCAGTTTTTTTTCTTTTTTTTTTTAAACACATTCATGCATATATTGCAAAAATTGTGAAATGGAGGTCGGGGACCTCACAATTCAACCTGGGTTTATCCTGACAGAATTAGCCAGTTTCCATCAACTTTCTTCCTTTCGGTTTCCAGTTTCAACCCGCACCACCTCGATTTTTTTTCCCTTAGAGGTGGACCCCACAGAGAGAAAACTCGAAAAAAACACCCCGCGGGATGTTCTCTTGGGCCCCACAGGGAGTGGAAGAATGTTTGGAAGTCATTTTTCTTCCGGGATCCTACACCACACCACGCGGGAAAGAGTAGTGTGGAAAAGCGACGAAGGACTTTCCACGTCCAATTTGGCTGGAAAGTGCCTACATTCCGCAAATCCGCCAAAAAATTGAGGCAAACGCAGGGGGTATGGGGGGCATCCTCGTGTGTTTTCCGAAGTTGAAAGACTGCACAGGTCCACATGATGTCCGCCAGGCACGGCCCATTGAAGGCTCCGGTTGGACGACCACCCTGCAGGTCCGCGACAGAAGTGGTCCAAATCCAGGAAAAAACACCACCAAATTGTTGGAAAAGTGGTTGTGTTGTGGGGTCCCGTTTTTTTCGGGAAAAAAACTTTCACTCTCTCCGCCTCGGATTTCCAGGGACGTGCGTTTTTCCAGCCTTTTCCCTGTGGGGTCCACCCCTTAGCCCATGTTGTTGTAGAGGTCAAGTTCCAAACACACGATGGTCATTGCATCAGCCAACCATTGGTTGTGCTGACAATTGTTCCATTTGTGAGACCGCCTCCCAACCCATCTTCTCATCAATTTTTCCGGCTCACCCCCTATTCCTATTATCCTACCTCATTCATCTCATTATCTCATAGCAAGATTTTGTCCAAATGGCAGTTACAGGCACCAGGGCTAGGCATGCTCAACGGGACGACTGTTTTTTTTTCAATGGTCCCCCGCACCTCGCAGCCCCTCCGAGTCTTGCTTGTGGCAACAAAAACTATATGCAAGGATGGGGCCATGTACAGGCGGTTTAATCACTCAGGACTTATGACTGATAGGCCCGCCATTCACATGACAACACAACTTTATGCATATGGAACTCAGCCGGGGATTGGTGGGTGTCCAGACTGCAACTGCAGCTAGCAGGGTTTTCCAAGGGTTCACGCTTGCCTGTTGTCGGCGCAAATACCCTTACAAGGGTATCCGCCCTGATTTTTGCAAGTAACAGGAAATCACTTTGAATTGGGAGTTCGAAGCGCCACGTAAGTCGTGGCCATTTTTTTTTTGTGACTAGAAATATGAAACCGCTTGAAAGAAATAGGGAGTGTTTTGACGTTCAATCTTAAGGCGCACGTGATCGTTTCTTAATTGACATTATAAAATTGGTTTAATTGCGAGTCTATTTTTTTTATATTTGATTTAATTATGACTAAAATGATATTTTTCATCTTTGATTAAAAACATCTGTCTGTGGCGCGGACACTCGCACGGAGGTGACTGTCGTGACCGAGGCTGGGTTTGACTGTCAACATTCTTTTGGGGTGACTATTTTAAATTATTAATGAGAGGGATTTGAAATTGCATAGTAGTCAGGGCGGAAAAACATTTTGATTGGTCATGGTGGCATTGACTTAAACATACTGAGCGGTGGGCGCAGCAATAGCGGGTGGAGCCGACCCCTCTCATAACAGGTGTAAGTGTTCGGTAGCCGTAGGTTCGGTGAGAGTAGGCAAAGGTGGTTTGGGGCGTTTCAGCGCAACCATGCAGTAGGCGGAACCCATTTATATGGATTTCTGTTAGTGTCAATGTCATCCTTGGGCAAAGCATTATTGGTTACAACATTGAACTTTCAAAGCGGAAGCATGGGGATCGAGGTCGGCGATCGGCAGTGATGAAGCAATTGAGCGGTTGAAGATGCCGAGGGGTTGAGGACCCGACGGGGCTATCCCCCTTCGTTTTTTCGCCAGCCCATCCGTGGGCCCGACCGACATAACTGAAACGGGCGTCGACGGTCTCCCTTCCCCAAAGCATCAGTTCCAGATGTTTGTATTTTTATTTTTGGTTGTATTTTTTTATTTTTTATTTTTTTTAGTTATTTTAGTTGTCGGTCCAGTTTTTGGACACGGCACCAGTGTTGGTACTGGGGTTGTGTGCGGGGACCAGCGGGCGTAACTCGATTGATACACCCATGAACAGTTGAAACACGGGTCAAGGAGTTCAACGTGCGTGCGAGTCGGTGGGTGATTCACCCACGAGGCAGATGAAACCGGAGTGGCGGAAACTTTTTGTGGTTTTTAATTCACGGTTTGCTATGCGAGGTTTGAGTGTGAGCGTGCTCGGTTGGGACCCGCAGATGGTGAACCATGCCTGGACACAGCAGGGTGGGGGACTGGGGCAGAGGCCGCAACAACAGTACCGTCTGTACACAACTGCACACATGGGACCCTTCTCCACTTCGGTCTTCAAAATTCTCATTTTAATATTCGCTACTACCGTCAGGATCTGCATCGGGACCCGCTTCAACTAGGCTGACGCTGTAGACTTTGCGGCGGGCCCGCGCCCTCTCGCTCGTCGCGGGGTCCAGATCTGCTTGACGGTCGGGCATAGGTCACATGCTTCAGTGCCACCTTCTGTCGGGGCTAATTGATTCGGCATGTAAGTTGTTGTCTACTCCTTAGAGGATTTCGACTTCCATGACAACCGTCTTGCTGTTTGTATCAATCAACACCCTTCGTGGTGTCTGGGTTCGTGCGCAGCTTGGCACCAACCGGGTGCAGAGGCGCTGAGAAGAAAGCAAACGTGTTGCTTGTTCATCGGACTTGGGTATACAGGTGAAAAACTGTTGAACCGACTAGTAGCTGGTTCCCTTCGAGGCTTCCCTCAAGGTATCTAACGCCGATGGGCGGTGGTATCAGACCACTATGGGACCTGCCGTTA